ACATTTTTTAAAATCTTGGAACTGGGGAAAACATGGTAAAGCCCTGCATTTCTATCTTCCTGTCCAGACAAGACCAGGACCTCTTATAAGACCATATGATTTTTAGAGCTAGAAGGGACCCAAAAAGGTCATCTATATGCAAATGATGGAGCTGAAGGTAAAGTGACTTATTCCCAGGGTCATACAGGAACGTTAATCATTGGAAGTGGGATTTGAGTCCAGAACTTCTGCCTGTAGAGTTTTCTCCACAGTGCCCAATTCCCTTCTCATTTTGACAGAAGAGGAAACTGAGGCCCGGAGAAGTCAGTTGGCATCACACAGCTTGTAAATGTCTGGGGCAGGATTCCAAGGATGGTTTCCTGACTCCAAATTCAATGCTTTCCAACTCATGTTCCCCAATTTATTTTGTCATACTCTATTACTAGGATTCTTCACCTTTTTTTTTTTTTTTTTTTTTTTTGAAATCATGAACCCCTTTGGAAGTCTGGTGAAGCCTATGGTCACTTCAGAGTAACGTTTTCAAATACGTGCAATACAACACATAGAATTTAAAAGGAAATCATTATACTATGAATATATATAAATATAACTATGTAACTATAATATAATTATACAATTGTATACATTTTATAATTGTATTAAAATAAAAATGTAGATTTTTTTTTCTCTATCAAGTTCATAGACCCTCCTAAAATCTGTCTGCAGTCTGTGGACCCCCTGATTAAGAATCTCTTTTAGAGGTTCTGTATAAGCTCTTGGAGGGCAGGGGGAACTATCTTGTTTGTTTTCATTTATTTCCTTAGTATTTAGTGCATGATAATCATTTAAAGTGCTCATTCATTCATTCATTCATTCATTCTTTAGAACAACCTGCAGTTCACTGTTGACAGTTTGGAAAAAGAGGGCAGTGGGAATGGGTAGTTGTGATGGGGCCTGTACAGAGATTCTGTGTTTGTTTCACGTCTGCTATAGACAAGAATTTATAATTGTCAGCTTTTCAGCAAAGAAAAGTCTTGTAGATGGGGGAAAGTTAGCTGCTCCTGGGGTTCTAGCCTTTGCCTCATTGACCTCCCAGACTTTGTGTTCCAGGTCCCACTGCTGGCTTATTCGTGCCTGTTTTTAGGGAAGTGTGGGTCATCTGACCAATGTGTGGTGGTTTTCATTTTTTTAAAAATTTTTTAATCCTCAAGAATTTAAATGACAATGGCCGTGCCCCGCTTGTTGCTCAACTACCTTCCTTGTGTGTTGTGTTGATGACAGGGCCAAAGGATTGCTCGTTCTGGGATAATGAGGCATTTCGCTATTACTGGGTAAGAAAGATTGAATATTAGGATGCAGGGGCTTGCCAGGTTCCTTGATAGATTACAGTCTGGTTGCCCAGGCAACTCAGCAGCGTGAATGTTATAGGAACTCATGGCTCCCAGGCGAGGGTGCTTGTGAGATGCTGGGCTGAAAGCTTTTCTCCCCCAGACCTGCCCCTCCTTGGAGGAATGTGGTCCATCTTGGTGATGCTGGAGGACTCGGTGCCTCGCTTGGAATGTGGAGCTGCCGATGGTCTGCTCGGGAAAAATGCTTCCGTGGGAGGCAGCGACCTTCAGGACAAAAGCCCGCCGGAACGCCTGGATAGCAAGGGCCGAAGGGATTTGTGAAGACGTGGTCGATGCTGTTTGGTCAATGCATCTTTGTGATTCAGAGCATCGAACATTTAGAGCTGGAAGATTTGTAATCTTAGAGGTGGCCTATGCCATCTTCCCTTCACTTTACAGAAGAGGGAAACTGAGGGCCAGGGTGGGAAGCGATTCGATGGAGGAAAGTCCTGTAAATCCTCAGACCCTGGTATCACAAATCTAGCACTGGATGGGAGGTGAAGCAGAGCCAGAATTTGAGCTCATGGCGCCCAGCATCCAGGCAGATTGTAGATTTGGAGCTGGAAGGGACCTTAGAAGCATGCGAGATTGTCGGCTCCTTGAGGGCAGAGTCTGTCTTTTGCTTCTTTGTTTTTCCCCAGAATTTAGCATAGTGCCTGGCACAGAGTAGGCACTTGATAAATGTTTACTGACCGCTTGATTGACTGGTTAACTCCAACCTCCCTCAGTTTGGAGATGAAGAAACAGGACCCAGAGAGTGACTTGCCCAGGGTCACACATCTTATGAGTCTGCAAGGTGGGTTAGGATCTGAGGCCCTTGACTCCAGAGCTAGACTCTTTCATCCTGTTCTTCCTACTGTCCATCATTCATGAGGCTGAAAATTTACCCCACACTTTTGTGACTGTTTTGTGTAGCCAAGGGAGGAATAATTTAGTTTGGGGCAGCTAGATGGCACAATGGATAGAGCACTGGTCCTGGAGTCAGGAGGCCCTGAGTTCCAATCTGGCCTCAAACACTTGACACTTCCTGGCTGTATGACTCTGGGCAAGTCACTTAATCCCAATTGCCTCACATAAAAGAAAAAGGAATAATTTAGCTTTCTGTGAGCACTTTTAGAGTCAGACCCAAAGGTACCCCTGGGAAGTCTTGGGCTTCTCCTAAAGGACCCCATCCCTGCTTCTCCTTTCACTGAGAAGAGACAGAGAGAGAGAGAGAGAGAGAGAGAAAAGAGTCTTCATTTTCATTTTATCAATCTAGTGCTATTGGATTGATATCTAATCAATCAATGTTGTGCATGATTCAGAGAAGGAAAAAAAGGGATTTCCCTAATGTTTGTTGGGCATTAAAGTTGGAAGAATGATTTTGTTCTTTGTTTTTGCTGGAGCCATTTATTATAGAAGTGAGATTCTGAATGAAATTAGCTCTCATCAATTTTTATTGAAGGCCCCACTATAAGCTGGAAATAACTGTGTTAGCATTTATATTTTTTAATTACATGCAACTTATATTTTCAAACTTTAAATGAGTCAGTAGGCTTCTGCCTAATTAGTGTAATGTACAGAATCACGTGGTAAATTGCTTTAATTTAAAACATGATTGTTCCTGAAACTACGGCTTTATAGCTCGAATGATCACTTTTAATTTACGTTCAAATATAAATCAGCCTCCTTTCTTTTTCTTGTTTCCTTCAAATGAAAGTTCTGACTTTCAAAAGGAGGAATTAAATATATTTCATGTATGTGGGATTGGCGTGGCCTGCCTTCCCAATTTAGTTGAGTGAAATTAAGCCATGGAAATGTGTAGGTCATGTGGCAAACACAAATGTTTAGAAAATAGGTCTGAGAATTTGAGGATTTAGTATGGGCTTGCTAGGGGAGTTTGTCAAATTGATACATACATCTAGACAAAGATATACACCAAGATACACATGTACATATGTATGTTTATATCTATAAATGTATGTTGATAGTTACAGATAAATGATGGGTAGATGATGGATAGATTGGTATAGGTAAAACATGGATGATAGCTGGATAGATAGCTAGATGATGGATAGATGGGTGGAAGGATAGATAGAATGACAGATAGACAGATAGATAGATAGAATCTCTAGAGGTAGAGCATTTATTAAGTACTTACTTTATGTCAGGTACTATTATAAGTCCTGGTGATACTAATACAAGCAAACAAGAGAGTTTCTGCCTTCAAGGGGTTTATAGTCTAACAGGGCACAACAGCTTATAGTAAATGAAGGGAGAAGGGGAGAGATTTTCTCCAGACGTTCTTCCATAAGAGAACATGGGCAGCTTCCAGGAAGACCTGAATTCAAATCTGTTTCTTAGCTGGGTGATGCTAACCTATCTCAAATCCCAATTTTTTGTCTGTAAAATGGGGATAAAATTAAAACTGACTTCACAGTACGGGTTACAAGAATCAAATGAGAATAACATTTATAAAGTACTTTGTAAACTTGAGAATGCTTTGTCATTGCTGGTTGTTATCTCACTGTAACAATGAGAGCTGATATTACTTAGGACTTTAAGGTTTGCAAAGCACTTTAGGTGTCCGACTTTGTTTAATGCTTCTTAGCAATCCTTCGAGATTGTTGTTATTTTCCTTATTTTACAGATGAGGAAACTGAGGTTTGAGGGATGTGCTTAGTATCACACAGATAATGAATGACCCAGATTGGATTCAAACCCAGGACTGTGTTACTCTGTGTGCAAGGCTCTGTCATCTTCTTTTTCTTTTCTTCCCCACTTTGGTGAAGCAATCGGGGTTAAGTGACTTGCCCAGAGTCACACAGCTAGTAAGTGTCAAGTGTCTGAGGCTGGAGTCAGGAGGACCTGAGTTCACCACACCACCTAGCTGCCCCTAGGGCTCTATCAAATACAAGGAAGGAAGGAAATAAACATTTGTATAGCATGTGCTAAGGGATTTACCGTTATTATCTCATTTGGTCTTCACAACAACCTTGGGGGGGTAAGTGCTATTATCACGCCCATTTTATGGATGAGGAAACTGAGGTAGACAGGGTTAAGAGACTTGCCCATGTTCACACAGCTAGTAAGTATCTGAAGCAGGATTTGAATTCAGGTCTCCCTGACTCTAGACCTGGCACTCTATCCACTGCGCTACCCAGCTGCTCAAGAACGGAAATTGGACTTGCATCATGCATTCTTAGAACGATATCCATCATTATTAGGCTCCTGATTGGTACTAAGTGCTTCTTCTAAACAAGCAATGGCATGATGTAAATTCTGTGTTTTAGACATTTCCCCCTAAGTTGAGGAGAGGAACAGTGCTTTATCTAGAAAAGTGACTTCAATCTCTTTGGACATTTTGTTATGTACTTCTAAGATAGTGTTGGAGACTACATTTAGCCCAATTCCAATTCAGCGCCATTTATTACTGGAGCCTTTTTTGGGTCAACCTTGCCTTGGTTCTAAAACTCTGGTTATGCCCCAGGCTTTGTGGTTATTCAAGATCCTGGATTGTGTTTTGTTTTGTTTTTTTCTTTTTATACCTCTGTCTGGTATATAAATCAAAGTAATAAACTGGTTGAAATAAAAAAAAAAAAAAAGACCAGATGTTTCTAGTATGAAATTGAAATTAGTGTTTTATTTTGACAGGTCATTCTAGTTCAAGTTAATCCAGGAGAAAGTTTTACAATCAGGGCTGAGGATGGAACTCTTCAGTGCATTCAAGGTAAGGACATTTTGGGTCAGCCTCCCAACCAATAGATTTCTCCCCCAGTTTGTTGCTTTAAGGAAATAGGGGTTTTCGTTGGGTCTTCCTATGCTTTTTCAGAAGCCAAAATATGTATTTTGGATTTCCTTGGCTTCCTACGGTCAAAGTCCTCGAGGCCTTTATGGAACCACAGTTTGCAGCCCTGAGGCGGGAGGCTCTGTTTGAATTGGGTGACGTGGAGCTTGGGGCATCTTTAGGAATGTTTGGAGAATCATGGTGACTGGACAGTGTTTGGAACTGCTTGATGGATTGGGGGATTTGGCAAAGTCTAGGGAAGATGGTGGGGGGGTATTATCTAAAAACTTATCGCTTTTATAAGTGATGACGTATCGGCACACATGCCGGTTTCCCGAAAGGCATCACGATGGTGAAAAATGAAAGTTATTCCTCATTGGTATTCTCAGGCTTGGAGCATTCATACCTTTCTGGGAGGATTGGTAGTCTTAATTTCTCTTCTGGAGCATTGTCATCTTCTGGGAAATGAACCAGAACTTCCCACATCATGTTGATTGCTGCAGAGGAAAACTAATTAGATTAATCTGATCATAGAGCTGGTTTCTAAAGGCTACTGTTTGGGGAGGAGTTGGGGGCATTTGAGCTGAGCGATCAGAATTATTATAAATTATAAATTTGGCCCATGGACTGGATCGATGGGAAATTATTGATTGGATTGAAACCAGACCTTCGGCTGAGTGTTTAACACCTCTATGTGATCCCAACGTTACATAAATAAAGAAGTAAACTTGGGGAATTGTCCTTCGGTTTCTCAAAATCAACTCAATAATTGTGATTGATTTTTCCCCCCGTTTGTACCATCTGAAAGCATTGCAGTGCCTGCTGCTGTCTTGTATTGGATTAAACAAGAAAATACAAAGGAAAAAAAAGGATTGAGGGGATGAAAGGAAAAAAAAGGTAGATTTTGTTTTCTCTGAGGACTGAATCAGCCTGTAGCATCTAAGATGACTTATTTTAAAAAATGCATTCTATTATGTTTTCATTCTGGTGGACTTTTGAGGACTTATAATAACACAGGGGGTGACACTTTCATCTAATAATAACAAAAATAATAATAACATGTAATGCCTTAAGCACTTTATAAATATTATCTCATTTTAGACTCACAATAGCCCTGGCTTCTATCATTATCCCCATTTTACAGATGAGGAAACTGAGGCTGAGTGAGATTGAGTGACTTGTCTTGTAAGTATCTGAGGTAGGATTTGAACTCAGGCTTTCCTTACTCTAGGTCTAGTGCTTTATCTACTGAGCCACCTAGTAGGGAGAGATCCCAAGGATAGGTCAGATAGGGTGTTTTTGCTAGAGTGTATTTCCCTGACGATTTCAAGTATTCCTATACTTGACCATGTATGTCTCACACATACTAATCCATGTGTTACACATATTAATAAAAAGTAGAGTTCTCTTTAAAAGAAAAATCTGCTCTTTATTAATAAATAATATGAAGAAACTCATGGTTCCTAGTGAGAGCTAGTTAATATGCAAAATAGCATTCACTATGCAAATTGCCACCAGTCATCATACTGTACTATGGTTCTTGAGCTCTGCAAATGCCATTGCCTTGTTTGGGGGTATGAGGTAGGAGAGGAAAAAAATAACCTGTTACAAGTCAGTTGTTTAAAAAACAGGAACCCCAACTCCCCTTCCCCCCATTTGTATGGTCTTTTTGGGATACAGTCCTAGAAGTGCTATTGCTGGGTCAAAGGTTTTATAGCCCTTTGGGCATAGTTCCAAATTGCTCTCCAAAATGGTCATTTCAAAACTCCAGCAATGCATTCATGTTCCAATTTTCCCACATCTTCTCCAACATTTATCACCCTTCCCCCCAAAAAGAAAAGAAACTCAACCCCAGTATTGACAGCAGTGAATTAAAATGAACACTTGACTCTTTTTCAATTCCAGAAATAAGCATTTGAGTCTCTTCTAATCTAACATATTTTGCTTTTATCTTGGCCTCTCCAACATGTTGGTTGGTTGAAAATGGACCCTTCAGGAAGGAGCTAGCAAAATGTAATCAACACTCCCAAAACTTTATGTGTGTAATAGAGGCTCTCATAAAAAGCCTAGCAACCTAGTAGGCAAATCACTTAACTCGTCAGTGCCTCAGTTTCCTAATCTGTAAAATGAGGAGGTTGGGCCAGATGGACTTTGAAGAATATCCTAAGATGCTCTGACTGCTGAGATGCCCACCATGAGATCTTTATACCTTGGGATGTTAATGTTAGGGGATGAGATGGGAATGATTGTTTACAATCAATCAGTGAACATTTATTATGCATCTGCTGGGCTCCTGGGCCTGGGCTTGTACACCGAAGCCTTTGAATGTGTAGTGTCTTAGCAGTTCTAGATGAAAGGGAACCTGGAGGTCGGCTGGTACAGTTCCTCTATTTTAGAGGTGAGTGGTTAGCCCAAGGTCATGACAGGTCCTCAGTGACGAATTGGGATATGGCCTCGGGGCCTTGGACTCTAAATTATGTTCTTTTTCCATTACTCCTGTTATGTTGCCGTGTGTGTGTGTGTGTGTGTGTCTGTGTGTGTCTGTGTGTGTCTGTGTGTGTCTGTGTGTGTGTGTGTGTGTGTATTTTCTTGAGCATGGGTTGAAGACGAGCATTGTAAGTCAAATCAGCCTTGACTGAAGGAGTGGTTGTGGACTTCAAACCCTCACTCTTAAACTTGGTTTCTACGTGACCTTGGGCAAAGGCACCCAACTTCCTGGTTCCTCAGTTTTTCCCTTTGTAAAATAGAAGCATTAGACTAGCTGACCTCTAAGGTCCTTTCCAGTTCCAAATATGTGGTCCTATGACCTTGAGATAAAACAGTTTATTCATAACAGCTTGCATTTTTATATGGTGCTTTTGTTTGCAAAGACATTGATAGATATCTTGTTCTCATAACATCCTTGGGAGGGAGGTGTTATTATCTCCATTTCATAGATGAGGTAACTGAAGCAGACAAAGGTGAAGTGACATGCCCAGGGTCACACAACTAGTGAGTGTCCAAGGCAGGATTTAAACTCAGGTCTTCCGTACTCTAGACCCAGTGCTCTATCCACTGGGCCGCCAGATTATGTCTTATTATGTTGAAACAACATGGAGTTTCTTCAACTTTGAGTTTTTTCATTATTTGAATGTTTTCACTGGGGAATTAAAGCAAGGCAGCCAGAAGTACCCAGTAATATAGTAGTGGGAAGTCCAGAAGTTTGGTCTCTGTGTAGATAAGCTCATCCGTTGTTTGGAATTATTTGTTGGTGGTTTATCATCTTTCTGTCCTCTGTGACAGCACCTGAAGGAGATGGGGACCACGGGTCTCAGAGCCCTGGCCCTCCTGAAAGAGCAGAGCTCCTTTTTCCTGGGAACATCATGGGGGATAATGAAGAAAGGAAAAAACAGGAAGCTGCCACTCTGCTGGGGAAGCAGTTGGATTTCTAGTGGAATATTTCTCAATATTTTCCATGAAACATGAATCATAGCCTTGCAGAGGGCTGTAGAAAGGTCACGACAGCTCTTCTCTCTCTGAGATGGGCTGTTACATGCAGCATCCTGGGCGAGAGTTTGGCATCCTCAGGGCTTCTTGGAGTGTCTAGAAATACTTACTGACCAGTGGGGAAACCTTCTGGGTGCTTCAGGCCAGGTCTGAGCTGGTATGTCTTGGTCTGAGAACAGGTTCTTTCCTGTCTTCCCCTCACTGCAGTTTGTGCTGCCCGCCACTCTTCTTTCTTCCTGCAAATCCTGCCTGTCAGAGCCTTCTTGCACTAATGCACCGGTGTGACCATCACTGCCCTGCTCACACACCTTCCATGGCTCCCTCTTACCTGTTGGATAAAGGACCAGCTCCTTAGCCTGGTCTTCAGTGCCCTCGGCCATCTAGTTCCAACTTAGCCTTCCAGCCTTATTGCGTATACTTGACACACTTTATGTTCGGACCGGATCGGATGAGCTGTTTCCCAACTCTAGATCCTGTGCTCTGCCCCATTCATTGGCACAATCCCATGCCCGGAATGCTTTCCCTTCACGTCGCTGCTTCCTGTCATCTCTAGCTCCCTCCAAGACTTCTTGTCGGTGACTCCCAGATCTCCCCAGGTTCTGTTGTTCTCATCTTCCCAAGATGACTGATGTGTGGCTGGTGTGTTTGCTTATCTCTGCACAGGTTGTGTGACACTCTCCCCGTCCCTGAGGGTGGGGGTCATTTTTGGTTACTCTAGCTTCACAGAGTCCCGAGCTCCCTTGAAAGCACAGCTTAGATGTCATGTCACCTCCTACAAGAAGCCTGTCTTGATTTCTCCAGCTCTTAATGCACTTCCCCTTCCTAACCCCAGAATCGCTTTGTATTTACACTGCGTAGATTCTGGGGTATTCTTAGCTGTGTGAACTCCAGGAGAGCAAGGGCTGGTTTCTTTCTCCTTGTCCCCCTAGTGCCTAGCATCATGTCTCTACATAGCAGGCATTGAGTAAAACGCCTGGCCCGTACAAGGTGCTTAATAAAGTCTTGTCAGGTTGAATGACATTGTATCCTTAGCCTCCAGTCATGGCCTTCAATCTAGTCTTATTTAATAAATACGTGTGTATATGCATATATATGTGTGTGTGTGTG